AATACAATATTACAATACAGTATTCCACACCCCCACCCTTAATACTACACATAAAAAAAAACAAGATTATAAAAATAAATTATTTTCTCGGGCGTAAATTGTAACGAGGTGAAATTGAGGTCTCATCAGCAACCAATTTATTTGAGATCTGCATTTCCTGATCGCTTTGTAATTCCTCAACTTGAAAATCGTCCGATGGACCCGCCAAAGAATTGCGTATTTTCAACGGTATGATTTGGTCAAGGTGACGTTTAAAATTTTGATTTGTTGTTTGATCACCGACGCTAACCATACTATCACCTATAATTTTTGTAATGGTACCTTCTTGCCATTTAGACGTTGAAGAAAAATCTTTTAATAGACAGCTATCGCCCACTTCAACCCTTTTATTAGAACCTCCATAATTACGCATTTGTCTATCTTGACTGTTCTGAACTACGTCGACAGTGGACGGCCGCAATAAATCTAGTCGTGAGCGTAAACGACAACCCAACATCAATTCTGCGGGTGATTTTCCCGTAGTGGAATGAATAGAATTACGGTAATCAAACAGGAATTTATACAAATAATCGTCAATTGATTTATTTTCAATTGTACATTTTTTAAAAAAATGTTTAACTGTTTTAACGGCACTTTCAGCTTGCTAGGGACAACTAAAATTTAGTAACCAGCCCAGTTCAAGTCAAGAAAAAGATAATAGCGAAGAGATTTTCTGTTATTGTTGTGGTAGAAATAATCATCTCGCATCTCGGTGTTTGTATCGCAACGCCAGATGTTTTGTGTGTAAACAGAAAGGTCACTTAAAATTTGTTTGTCCCCAAGATAAGGAGAAAATGAAACAAGGTAAATACTCAGCAAGGAGAAATCATTTTGTGGATACCGACGATCAGGAAGCGACCTGCACCGAATCCGAAGAATGCAGTTTTTTTAGCCTGTCGGACGAGCACAGCATTGAGGAACCCATTAAAGTTACTCTTAAGGTAGAAAATATTGACCTGGAAATGGAATTGGATACGGGATCAGGAATTTCTGTGGTGTCTTCTTCAGTCCACAAGAAACTGTTTCCGTCAAAGGAAATTTTAAGTACCACACTTAAGTTAAAATTATATACGGGCGATTATTTAAAACCTCAAGGGTACATCTTGGTGAATGTGTGTTATCATGGGGTTGAAAAAGTGTTAAAATTGTACATCGTTGATAACGGTGGGCCTCCTTTGTTAGGGCGCACCTGGTGTCGGAAGTTAAAAATACCCATTTTTGCGGCAAACATGAACTCTATCGAGACGAAGAGTGGAGTGTGTGAACAGTTGCTTAAAGAGTTTCCCCAAGTGTTTGCTAAAGGAATCGGAACATTAAAGGACATCAAAGCTAATTTGATTTTGAAAGAAACTGCGTCACCTGTGTTTTGTAAAAACCGACCGCTGCCGTTCGCGTTAAAAGAAAGTGTCGATTTAGAATTGGACAGATTAGTGAAGGAGGGCATTTTAAGTCCAGTAAATTACAGTGACTGGGCCACACCAATCGTTCCCGTTTTAAAAAAGGACGGCTCAATTCGTATTTGTGGGGATTTTAAGATTACCGTGAATCCGAACCTTAAAATTAATCAGTATCCACTGCCTCGAATTGAAGAACTTTTTTGTAAACTGAAAGGGGGGAAAAAGTTCAGTAAAATCGATTTATCAGAAGCCTATGCTCAAGTGTTACTCGACGAGGAGTCACAAAAGTGCTTTACGATTAACACTCACCAAGGACTGTTTAGGTACCATCGCCTTCCGTACGGTATCGCGTCAGCGCCAAGTTTATTTCAAAACATTATGGAAAACATTTTCAGAAATGAAGACGGTGTGTGCGTGTTTTTGGACGATTTGCTGATTACCGCGGCATCGGAAAAGGAACATTTACAGCGACTTCGTAAAGTGTTAAAAATGTTAAGTGAGTTAGGTCTAAGGGTTAAACTGAACAAATGTACTTTCTTTTCGGACTCCGTAAATTATTTGGGTCATGTAGTGGACAGAAGGGGTTTACATGTGTGTAATGATAAGGTAAAGGCAATTTTAGATGTTAAAAAGTCAACAAATGTAACCGAGTTAAAAAGCTTTTTAGGTATGGTTAATTACTATGCCAAATACGTAAAAAACTTGAGTACCATTGTAAGCCCTTTGTATCAAATGTTAAAGAAAAATCATCCGTATCACTGGACAACAGAGCATGATTTGGCATTTAATCATGTTAAACAAGAATTAAGTTCCGCCCAGGTATTGATGCATTTTAATCCCGATGTGCCAATTAGTTTAGCTTGCGATGCCAGTGCAACAGGAATCGGCGCCGTCTTATCACATGTATTGTCAAATGGTGATACGCGGCCTATCGCATTTGCATCGCGCACTTTAAATAAAAATGAATTAAATTATAGCCAAATCGACAAAGAGGCGTTAAGTATTGTTTTCGGAATAAAAAAATTTAACCAATACCTTTTTGGGAAAAAGTTTATATTAATTACGGATCATAAACCCTTATTATCAATTTTGGGTCCTAAAAAGGGAATACCTTTAATGGCAGCCAGCCGACTACAGCGTTGGGCGGTGCTGTTATCGGCGTATAATTACGACATACGTTTTGTAAATTCCAAAAACAACGTGTGTGCCGACGCATTATCGCGATTGTCATGCGGCATTGTGGAAAATGATAAACCTGATTTCGGGCATATTTATTACATAGAAAATGGTTTACCAATTTCGTATAAAATGATAGCCAAGCAAACGCTGGAATCAAACTGTTTATTTAGAACCAATACAATATTACAATACAGTATTCCACACCAACGGTGGCGAACCAGCCAGTCTCGTTTTTACGATGATTCCCAGTGGAACACCACTTTCATTATAAAGTAATTCCATTCTTCAAGATCTTTCAAAAAGAAAGAAAGACAGAACGCGGCCCCACTTACATCGAACTAACGTACACTACGTAACATCTGCACCTCCGTTATCCCTTTTAAAGCGATATGAACACGTGCTTTAATTAAATCTTGGCCCATAACAAAACTTCTTATCGCAAACACCAGATTTGCCTACATTAAAGCATCTTAACTAAATTAAATGGTTAAAATAGCGGTAAAATTCAAACAAGGAAATAATAGCTAATTATAAACAATTTTAAAAAGAAAAGTAATACCGAAGCACATATCAAATAAAATAAACCACCTCTGTGCTTATTTGTAAAATAATCCCCTCTATTTATACTTAAATAAATGGAAGACCAGTTCTGCAGGGGTTTGCTTACCTGCACAACTGATTGCTGACCCTTTCTGCTAGTGTTATTGTTATTGTTATTTATTTTACGTAAAATATGTAATTTCATTGTGTACCTACACTGCAGAATAAATCTATTATTATTATTATTATTATTAAATATTATCATATACAGGATGCCCCGTCATTATTTTTGGTGTTTAGATTGAAATAACGTCCACTAAACGGATGGGTAGAAATTACCATGGAAGAAAAGGTAATAGCTATAGTTACGGTGCGGTAAACTTAATGGAAAAGCAAAAATTAGACGGTATGAATGCAAAATAAATTTCCGGAAAATATACAAATTTTAGGAAGATTTAAAAACGGTTAATAAGCAAAGGCAAAAGATGCAAAAGATTTTATGGTTCGGTTAACCACCAAATTCAAAAAATCCCTTCCAAATTTAGCGTTTATCTTATAATTCTTCTTATCTTATTAATTCGGCTATGCCACGGATGTAATTTCGACTATATTTTCATACTTTACAGTTGTTAGTTCGACAGGGCATATAAAAACAGTCGTGAATTTCTTTCGATTATTTAACATTCCTCATATATGAATATGAATCTGGGAAGTATGGAAAGAAAGCGATAAAATAAAATATTTGTAATGCAATTTCCCGTAACGAAATACTCCAGTGATTGAAGGCGGTGAATTGGCCTAAACCTATACAATGTGCTTACTTTGAAGTACATATTAAGTTTGCATTTCCTAACTCCAATGGACTGCACACAGAACATAATAAATATCCCGATGACGTTAATGATGAAAAACCCAATGCGATTTATATTAGTTTAGTACTTGAATGTTAATTGGAACGGAAAAATACTTACGTAAACAACATGGAACTGAATGGTTGAACTATAAAGCTACCTACCTTACTAAAAAATAACTTTCTTGGTGATGGTAAGCTTTCCTATAGGAAAGCAAAATTTAGCTGGTGTAGGAGTTTTTTGAAGATCAACATAGGAAACCCATGAAGTTGTCGTAAGTTTCATACTAGAATCTCTGACTTCAACATTTACGAAAGTGCGTACGCCACCTCGCAAATAACTTTTATAATTGGTTGAATATGTAATCAATGCTTTTATAGTTTTATTATGTCTATTACCAGAGATCAAAGATCTCGATGTAGTCGCATAATGTTATGATCATTCGCTCTTCGCCACTTGGTATCAAAGTAAGTTTTCTGTTATGTACCCAGCCAAAATCGTTGCATTCCTTGCATCCTTGTCGAGTTAGTTTTCCAGCGAAACAGGTCCTTCATAAAATGGCCCAACCGAAAACGATTAGTCTCGAACAGATTGGGGCTACTCTGATACTCAGCATCAGTCCCAATTTACGTTGAAAATCATTGTTAATAACGTTCCCATAAATTATCTCAGTTTCACGAAAGATCTGAAAATTGCATGATATTTTATAAAGTACATCCTACCTGTAGCTTGTCTTTCATCCTTTTCGCTTCATAATTACCACAAAAGAATGAGATTTAGAAATATTTGATTCACAATTGGATTGTACCTATAGCGACGCTTAATTCGAATTATTCACGGAGCGCTAAGGTCTCGATATCCTTTAAGCCATATTTAAAAACAGTTACAAACAGATGAATATCATTTTCATTTTCACAATAGTAAATTAAGTAAGTGAATCCAATATAAATTTAAAAGACACGTAAGTTTCTTACTTTATAATTTAGTGCTTTAATTTAAACAAGCTCTCAAGTGCTCTTTTACTAAAATTAACACTTCTAGCATATTGCAAAGATATCTACATCACGGTACGTTTGTGCCAATTAATACATATTTACAAAATTAGGTGCGACAAGCGCCGGCGCTATGTCTGAAGAATGTGAACAATGTTGCGGTACCATATTCCTGTTAATTAGTTATCTTTATATTTATATTAATTGTATTTGTAAAGCTAATATTTTAGAGTACACTTAAATGAACAAGCCGAAAGGTGTAGGTGTAGTAATTCGACTTGTTAATTTAACGGGCAAATCGTGCTCGTACATAAATTAAATTACTTTCAAGAAAGAGGGCGAAACAAAATAAATGTTAACGTGCTTAAGGTAATAATTAATTACACCAATAATTGCTTGCTTGTTGGAGAGACAATAAATGTCAATAAGTTGCCGCTATGTTTTAGTAATGGATTTGGTGACAACATAAACGTCACTACAAGTCTTACTGGATCGGATCATATATCGGGAGGCATTCCAATTCCACTCGAGCATTCTATATAGCTTGTACGGGATGCACAGACACTCCTTAATTAATCTTCGAGCCCGACAATGCTAATAAACTTGAACTTTTTGAGTTCCGTATGTCAGCTGTTTGTTTCTATTAATATCAGGCCTGCTCCACTCCACACCTGAGTCTTATCTAATTACAGTAAGCTTTATGGTCCAATTGCGGTTCACTTGCAATTTTTATGTTGTTGTCGGAATGCACTCAAAACTGAAAAACTGTAATTGCCTAACGTTGTTAGTCACGGTTATGGATATTAAGCAACGCCTGTGATTTATAACATTGATCCTATATCACTATGTTATATAGAGGAAGGCCCTGACAATCGAGTATCGACTAGAAATTGGAAAGAAAGAAATTACATAATAAAGGCACGTGCGTTGCGTAATAATAAATATTAAGTTGTCAAATTGTGTTGAACAAGGGCTACATTTGATCAGAGAGGAAAAGAACATTCATTTCATTTCCCTACCCTTAATAGCTATTTACAACTGTTTATTTAGACATTCCTAAATTTATAAATAAACAGCCGCGTTAATCGGGAATGTTTTAATCCTGTAATCTTTCAACAAGTAAAATATACTGAGCAAAAGAGTCGTCAAAAACTAAGAACGTTTATTTTAGAACTGGTACAATATCGATCAGTGTTGAGCCTAGGGGTGGGTGGAGTTCACGGGGCAATTTTTGGTCGTTTTTTGTCTCTTGCCCTGCTAGCCTTTTGAAAAGAAAATGTTGCATAATAACTGAAGTAACTGAAAGCCATTTTAGGGTAACTGTACATGATTCTAAATGGTATGAAACTCTCAGTGTTAATGAAGGTAAGATACCGGTAACGGGTACAGAATTACTCTTCCAGTTTGTAACTTTTGACGTCAATTATTTTTCGCTGGGGAAATCCCTTGATCAAACTTAAAAGTTTCCTGCATCCAATAACAAAACCTTGCTTTGGTTACCTCAAAACTGGTACCGAGTGTGTAATAATAATAATACTACGCGATACAAATAGAAAAAGTAATAACAATGAATGGCAAAATGCGGTTACACTATACAGGGTGGTGCCTAGCGCAACGCAGCATAGGGATTTCAATGGTAATTTCTTTATAGTCAATTACTAGCTCCCCTAATTATTTTAGAGCAAAAGTCTAAATACGTTTTTTTTAGAAAAAAAAAATACTGCATCTGTTCATACTTTTAGTTATAATTTTCCCTTTTTCAAAACCGTAGAAATCGACAAAATAAAAAATTACATTTTTATAAATCAGTGATGCTTTGGAATCTTTTAACAAACTACAAGCGCATCGCATGTAAGTGATCGTTGTTTGACGTCGAACGATTTTCATATTTAATTCTGTTGCAACTAACCGACGCAATAAAAGGCATCTTAGGGTAATGTTTTTTTTAGAGAATGTATGGTGCATCTGCATCAGATACTATTTGTTTATCATTCTCTGGAATCAGAGTACCTACATAATCGAAGAAAAAAAACTGATTTGAAGAAGATTTGTTCCTAAACTTATATTCGGATTTTCCGCTACTGCAGCCAAAACGTTGAATGTATTGTCGTTTTCCTGATGGTTTTGAGGGACATTTTGAAAGTTATTGCACTTGCAGTTCTTTAACTAATTTATAAACAAGTATAAATTTAATATACGTCAAAGGCAAATAATGAAAAGTTATCGCTGTTTTTTTAGGTAATTCCAAGGCATATTTGATTTATTGTAAAATGAACCTTTTTATTTTGTCGATTTCTACGGTTTTGAAAAACGGAAAATTATAAGTAATAGCATGAACAGATGCAGTATTTTTTTCTCTAAAAAAAACTTATTTATACTTTTGCTCTAAAATAATTAGGGGAGCTAGTAATTGACTATAAAGAAATTACCATTGAAATCCCTATGCTGCGTCGCGCTAGGCACCACCCGGTATGTCCGTATCTTAAATAAACTGAGGTCCGCATGACGAACGTCCGCCGAAAGCTCGCGCACCAATGGTAGTTTCTGATCTCCTTTGCAAAAAAAATAAACGGTATAATTTAAAAAAAATGAAATTTAATTAAGTTCAGAAAAAGGAAAAAAATCTGTAGACGGGGATGGCGGGGGGATCAGTCTCTCTTGCTTGACAAGATGCGGCGAGCGAAGGTAATTTCCAAATAAACCCCTAAAGAGGATCTAAACAAGCGGCAGAGCACGTCGGTTTGACCCTTAGGGGGTCATTGGATTTAACCTATTTTCCATAGACTTGTTACATGTGGCATACAATATGCCAACTGTGTAAAGCTTGAACCGAAACTGTCAAAGCGTTTGGCAGTTCGCTCTGCCGCTTAATAACTCAAACGAAGAACGGCGGTCCCAGAAATTCTAAAGGGCAAGCGGTGTGCGACGACTGGTGAATGCGAACAGCAATTTCCCTAAACGGTATCAGTAAATAATCGGATTGGGAAGCGGTTTCTACGGAAAACAATACCCCCCCCCCCCGCCCTATAATTAACGGAAAAAAGATCCCCTCTAAATCACGTTCGTACCTTTTATAAAATTGCCCAAATGCGAAAAGGGAAGCCTGGAAAATCCTTATTGTTCAACTAACTAGTATCGGAGCGCTCAAATTTCTTTAATTAATTGCCAGGCTCCCTGACGTGATGCAATTCCAGAAAACGGCTAAACATCTTGATAAATTAGAGTGCTTCCAATGACACTAAACACAGCCTAATCCGATGCCGTTTGCTACAACCCATCTGATTGGCTACCGGTGATTCTACTTACTTAATTGGCCGGATTAAAATTTCTAAATTCGGAAATCCGGTAACCCAAGGTAAGGCCTAATGTTAATTGCAATTTTCGGGTCTATCGAAAGGTTTCTTATCTACGTATGCTGTACGACCTTGCTCGGTGTAATTTTTGTTTTAAATTAGCATTGCGAAACTAAAATCAGATCATCATTAATAAACGGAAGATCACAATATATTAATTTTATTTCGCCTTCCAAATGACGAAAGCTTTCAGATGCTGCAACAATAATTTAAATATCCCCCGGGAACGGTTACAAAACTGCGACATTGTTGTTTTTTTTTGCTGTCGGCATGAAAACAGTGTTACCAATTAAAACAATTAAATTCTGCACTCCATTGCCATATCCTGGAGTATAAATTATTATGTCTACAAGGCGCCCGATTGAGTCCATTCAGATACCGCGCGTTCATTAAGGGTGGTAGATCCCATAAGCTGCTTCGTTTCACCACAACTCTTTGTTGTTTCCACTGGAGATATACGCAAACAAATCAATAAATAAACGTAACGTGCAGGTTATCTGCCAAACAATGTTATTTTTCATTAAGTATAGGCAAAACGACGTTTTTGTCAGATAACCTGCACATTAAGTTAACCGTTAGTGATACATCACAGGACTGATTGATTTTTTTAATTTTTAAGGATAGGATTTTTAAATACTTGCATAGAGTTACTACTATAAAAGCTGGGGCTATATTTTTCAAGGAAGAGATACTAAGCAGTAAATGAGCCACCCGAAATGAATAAGTGAAACACATTCCTTCACCTTCAAAATAAATTCAAGTTAACTATTGGCTGGGCAAGAAGTTTTATTCCTATATATAAATCTTCCCTTCGGAAAATTATTCAAAAGCTGCTAACTCCTTTTTAGGAAAATGCAAGTTTTGTACAAACTGATGCAGGTTGGAAATCTGGTAGGTTCGGTAAAGAAAATTGCGTTGTGCGCTTAGCTTTGTAGTAAGATAAAAACGGGAACTACTAACTAATCTATGCAACGTGCTACGAGTATGACTAGAGCTTTATTACTTTTTTCTCTCTAAGGCTTTAAATGAGCTTATGGCCATATATTTGATTTATGTGTAGGGAATATTCTAATATTAGGTGGTTAAGATGGGGAAGTCCTAGTCCAGTCACCTTAAAAGGTGGTAAGCCAAGATCAAAGACCGTTATTTGATAAATTTAATATATTTCAGTTGACGTTGCAATTGCAACCTTCATCAGAAACTAAAAGTGTTAATGTGAGTATTCGATACTATGGATAAAAAGAACTTACAATCCATAGTATCGAATAATCACATAAAAACCGTTTTAGTTTCTGATGAAGGTTGCAACGTCAACCGAAATATATTAAATTTATCAAATAACGGTCTTTAATCTTGGCTTACCACCTTTCATGGCGACTGGACTAGGACTTCCTCCATCTTAACCACCTAATATTAGTTACCAGTACCTAGTGCTGAGAGGGGAATATTTTAGAAATCGCGATAGATATCGCTCCGCCATAAAATATTAGTCATCGGCGATAAGAAAAGAAAGCGACTTCTTTCCGGGAAATATGATTGTTCGAGAACATTCTAGAATACTCGGGAGCGTTCAAGACCTTTCAAGAAAGAGGGGCGTTTGCTAATATATAAGCAAATCAAATTGTGTTTCAGACTTTCAGTTAGTTCTAACATCAATGCGAGTATTAGTAATAAATAATAATTACTGTTATAAATTAATCTATATATCTATAAATTTGTTAGTTAATTGTAGATAAATAAAAAACGTAATTAAATTTACGTGACATATTATTCAATTTGTTTATATCTTCGGTTGCTTTTTACTGAGGAATGCTTTTGAAATGTTGATGAAGTTTCCTATGGTAATCAGACCTGTACCTATGTCACAACCTTCCCATTGGACTCGCTCATCCGGGCGCGGCGCGGCTTTCTGGGCGACGCTGTCTATGCGTGTTAATGATCTGAAGTTTCTGCAATAGATACGTTATGATATTAAATATACAGCAAAAATCGAGGCAAAAATTATCCGACTCTGGCCGCCTATCGCTCCACCTCTTTACATCTTCAGATGATTTTTACTGATTTGTTTGATCTGAAATTTTGGTTGCAGTGTCTGCAACTTCAGAATGCGAGTTTCAATTCAGATCCATGGGAAGTCGCGTTCGCGACTTAACCAAACCGAAAAAAGGGGTTACAAGTCAGAAATATTAACCGACTGAGCGACTAACTGGCTTTATAACGTCCCACCTTTTATTAAAATCTTAATACGAGGTATGATTGTTAACTTTACTTACTGCTGCAGTCATATTAACCATTAGAGTCTGGAATTGCAAATCTACTATGTGTGTAAATCACAAAATGAATAAGTACTTTCCAAAATATGTTCACGATCTATAGCTCTAGGAGATGTGAATTATCTATCTATGCTGTGAGCATTTTTGCTGACAATTAGAAATTATCATCATCAAAAGTACGAATCAAACTTGAACTAACCTATGCACTAATCTTTTCCTTATTTCAGGAGTTCCTGACTACACGCCATTTACTTTAGGTAAGTGTAATTTGCTATAACACAATAAAACTAGCAATTAGGCTGTTTTGCGCGGTTACAGTTAATCAAGTGAAACTAAATAGGTTATAATTTTTACAATAACATCGTTATGTTTATAATTTACCGTTTTTATTGCCTTAACGTAATCACTTAATTCGAAATCCGTCATAATATCAGAATTTATAGGCAGCAACATTGGTACTAACAATTTATGATTCGCTTGATTGCAAATAAATTCTCTGCGTCATTCATTTTGCTACATTTAAACAAAACTTAACCTAATTTGTATATGGGTACTTAAGGTAAATACCTTAGGGGCTTTCTGT